ACCTCGGCAATTTGGTGCGATGTATATCATAAGGTTCACCTCAAAACACCGATTCTAAATGTGTGCTCGAAATCTGCGAAACGATCATGTGAAGGCAGTTATGAACTTTTTTCGTAAAAAATTTGCGTTTTTAGGTGATTAAAATCACGCAATTTGGTCTATTTTACCGTTTGAAGCTATTAAGGAGAATTTTGAAAGTTGTGCGTTGTATTTATACTTATTCAAACCATATTCAGCATTTGAAGAATCTTGAAAGATGTACGTTGTATTTATACCTATCTAAACCATATTCAGCATTTGAAGAGGAAAGAAAATTTTTTATCAATGATTTTGACCCTCCGCAGTAGGGCAAATCATCCTTGGAAAAAATGATTGTAACTCCATCCAGTTCTCGTTTCGCAGATATGGGAAACAGTATTCGAACCAGCATTGAAAGGCGCATTTATTGATATACAAACCATTATGAATGGCCGGGGTCACCAAGCATCGTTTCCTGCTTAGTCGAAACACGTCAGGTCAATAAACATTACCACCGGAAAGAGAAGAACTTATCATTCGAACAATTTTCAACAGATTTGTATAAAACGATTTCTTCGGAAAAGTGATCGTGAGCGATACAAGGGTTTCACTTGGATAACGCATTGTGGAGGAGTTGAGGTCGTATTTTTTGTTATTATTAGGCCAACAACTTCGGTAAATTGATGATTTTATCACAAATCCATACGTGTCAGGAAGCAAAAAAAGTGATTTCTAGCGATAAAATCATCACCGCATCAAATAGGAAAATCTCCTGGAACAGCTCTTCGAACATGAGATAATAAAAAAGGACAAAGCTTAGGCAACAGCACATCATTACAGTAACCCCCCCCCCCCCTCCCCATGCATCGTCTCGAATCAATTTTCCAAAAACAACGTTACTCCATTCCTTACAGTAGCGACCTAAAGAATTGCCAACGGCCAAAGTCAAATTTGCACAATCTGTGTACAGTCTCTTCATAAATGCATAAAAAGCAACAGATAATGGTTTGGGGTCAAAGTAACGCTTTATATATTTTTTGTAATAATATATAACATATTTGTATAATATTTGTTTTAGGGAATTACAAAAATCAAAGGCATACTCTTATTTGCACAGATGTTTCATGTATGTGCTTCAACTAATTATGTTGTTCCGGGTTAGTGCGCAAATATTCCAGAAAAAAATTTTAATGGTGAAAGTAGCGTTCAGTAACAACCTGTTTTGTCGAAACAAATGAGGCCGAGGTTTGGATTGCTGCAACGAACAAGAGACAGTACAACTGAGAATGACTGCATCCTCACGGATCAACTTGATTTGCATCAAGTAAAATTTTTAGCTACCAAGAGCCAAATTGCTGAACGAGAAAACTCAACGATTCTAATTACTGTGACTGCATTCAACTTGAAGAAGCGTTACAGCTATTTCTAAAAAATAACTTGTATGAGAATTCCAAAGTAGAAGGTCATACTTGGATAATTGTGAAGAGGGGAAGGATGTAAGGGATATAGAGAGAAATCCCTGCTTGAGATGACAATAATGAAGATTACTCTAAAGGCGAAGGATGTTCCTTGTGCAGGAGTAAACAGTAAAGGATAGCGGTTGAAATTGCAGAAAGTCTGCAAAGTTCTCAAAACAATTATATCTTAATGCAATCATGATTTTCAGTTTACAAAAATCTGACAGAGCTAAATTTTTGGAAACATGATTAGACTGGTTGCATCTATATCTTTTTGTTGAGCAAAGTCAAAGAAAACGTTAAAGCTTTTTTATACTTATTTCAACTGCATTACTGCATCCCGTAGTTCAAAAGGTTCTGATTTTTTCCGATCTTATTATCACACCAGTGCTTCACCTCTGCTTCGCAGAGGCTCGCACTGGCTCTATCTAAGCCCTACTCATTCTCGCATAATGATGGCATTGGAACTCACCGAGCAATGCCGACTATCACAAACAAAATGTAAACAACTACTCATTCCGAAAGCTTTTTATGTGAAATCGGTGATTTCGCATGGATGAGAATTTTTTCAGGAGAACAAACGCACAACTTTACAGGTTTTGGATTTTCTCATGGTCTTGACAGTTGCAATAAGAACAGCAGTCACCGTGAGCTAGATCTTTGTGCAAAAATCTCGTCAAATGCTTTGGTAAAACCTTGGCAAATTGACCATTTATGCAGCCAATATTTTTTGGCGCCGTTTTTCTAAAGTAATGGACTTTTGATCACTTTTTTGAGTCTAAGTTCATGGCTTGCGCTTTTACTTGGCATAAACATCCACTGATTTGCAAAAAGTGGAATTACGGACCCAATTATGCGACCCAAATGCAAAGTGGATACGTTTGACGCGCAGTTTCTGAGTGATCCACTTAAAAGAATCTGCTCGTGCTTTTGCATGTTAGACTTTCATGCGGGTAGCATGCGCTGTGCAAAATTTGACCCCAGGAGGTTGGCTGGAACACTCTCTACGAATTTCGTAACAGACACACTCTCACACACACAGACAGACACACAAAGTCACGTAAACATCCTTAGCCCGTTATTATAAGTTACTAGTTGGCTTTCCCGGTCCAGCCCGGGCCATTAGTCACCTGTACTGCAAGTCCCCCCCCCTTCTTATATGTTGTGGATGACTTACCCTGGAACCCGCTTCAAAACCGCATCCTCGTGATCCTGAGATGAAAATGAGCTTCACCGCCCTTCTTTACAGACTATGGTAAAATGTGATTGAACATGATAAACCCTCAATTCCTTAGAAAAACCTAAACAAATCAATAAATCGATAGAAGGACCCAACGAAGGGGTCGAAAACATATGTGTGCAAAGTTTCAGCTGAATCGGTTGAGCAGTGGCGTTTCTATAACGCACATACCCTCCAAACTGACAATTTTTGAGTTTTATATATATATAAATGATGTTACAATGTATAGGGTGTTAGGGGGGTTCTGAATTTATGTATACACTGTTTGGTGATATCCCTTTTGTCTAAAAAGCTTTTGCCTAACTTCATTAACCGTTTTGTAAAGCTGCTTTCAGCTTAGATTTACACTATAGATCATCACCGATGCTTTCCATTACTGTAAGATTAAGGTAATAATTTTGAAGAGCATTTTAAGTCATTGGGAGCTGTATTCCACGTCAGAACGAAACAGTTTGAAAAGACTCACACTAGACCAATTAGTGTTGCTGAAACTAATAAGATTAGCACATTACCATAAAAGTTTCTCTCTGAGTTGCGCCAAGTATAATATGGTATTTTTCTGTGCCCTTGAATTTGTGATTACAACGTTCGAAAGCTTTAGGAACTTGTGAAAAGTTAGGTAGTTTTTTTACTAATTTGTATTTTTAAAAATTTTTAAAAATTATTTCAATTTACAAGTAAAGACAAGTCCTTTGCACATTTTTATAACACATTTGAGTAACATTCAAAAATTTCGCGACCCATTCTTGGGGGGGGGGGGCGCCACTGGCACACAATGTTTTAAAGTTTTGAAATTTATTTTCAACCTACAGCGAAATCACAATGGCGCAAAAGCTGGAACTTTCTACCGTAATCCTATATCAATAAAAAGCATCCGACGAATCGCTCTATAATGTAAATCTAAGTTGAAGTGTACAAAATCAAAATGGTACTTGAAGGTAAGCAGAAGAGTCTTTGGTAAGAAATATCAACGATCAAACAGGTCTACATACTTTTTAAACATCCTGTATACATAGCTCATCGCAATCCATCACTTTGTCACAAGGATGAGCCTAGAACTGTTTGGCATCCTTAGTCAAGCTTTGCGCAAGCAGTAGCTTGTGTCGTAACCAAAAACTTTGTTCGAACCTCCGCCCGGGTCGCGCTCGGCGAGCGAAATAGCGTCCTTGATACTGCAGAAAGTTGGTCCGTTCTGTGATTTCAAAGACTAAGTTACTTGGCTACGAATATTTCTGCATAGGGGTCTAGGTACCGGGTGCCTAAGCTCCACTCTTAATACACCAGAAATTGAGCTTTTTCAGTTTTTCCCTTGTTTTTGTGTTTCTTCTCGCTTTAAGAAAGGGAAAGTATGGAAAAAGTCTCCATGTTTTAACAGATTTATTTAGTTCGCCTCAAAACTTACTGTAAGCACAAGAGTTTAGGTCAAGCATGAGTTCGACGAGAGCTCTTAACCTATAAAAACTCCTTACTTTCGAGTTCTGTTTGTGCATTCACAAATATCTTTTGTTGATTGCTATTAACAGATTCAACCAGCCTTCACATACTTCCAAGAACAATAACATATGCCAATCACAAGGTGTGCAACCTTGTTGACTTCCTGCTGCTTTATGTTATGGTGGACTACCCCTCGATAGTAAAACCAGATGGGTTGGGTGGGTCCCCTCTCCCCTCCCCTTATTTACTTCTGCTTTTGGTAGTTGCCACACAAGTGTCATGTTTGTGCTTGCACCATCTCAACAACTTCTCATACCGCCGTCATTTCGGTAATACTCTCACAAAAAGGACTGACATGATGGACGATGTTGAATGAGAAAATAGGGCACTATGAAAAAAAATACCGAAAGAGCAAGTCTATAACCAATTGATAAATTGTTTTCTGAAGCTTCATCTTTCTCCATATGGCTAGTCGTAAGCAAGTAAATGCATCTATAGCTTGCTCATAGATCGAGAGCAGTTTGGTTGGCAGCATGTATTGTACATGTGAAGAGTGAATTCGTTTCGGAAATTTTAAGTTTTCTATGGTCTCTACTTGTTCTTGAAAGGTCCCTCGCAGATTGAAGATGATAAAAAAGAGTCAAGTCCTCTTCTTTAAGATGAAGCAAAATGGATGCTGAGTATCTGAAAAGATCGTTACAGTATTTTTGTGTATCGCAACAGATAGCACCTCATTGATCAAATATTTCGAAACAGATTTTCCTGGTGGAAGAGATCATATAGTCAAATCAGATCAAACAGACATCTGAAAGTTCAAAATTACGTAAAACGTGCGGTCACGCCCACAGAGCATGTATAAAAGCGGGCAAATCTCACGCAGTTTCAAAATCCTTACAAATGTTCTTCTTATTGATATTACCTTTAACGGTAAGTCATTCTTTCTCAAGGCCCTCATAAAACCCTCTATACTGCAACAGACAGACATTTCTTTAGGCAGTATTAGTGCCTTCAGGCTCTTCAGAAGGTTGGTTTTGGAATTCAACGATGCTATACTTCAGCATGACCATTTACAGCATTATGCGCTGATAAGGGTGGCAAACTCGAGGAATCTTATATCAGTGCAAACATATTAGATATAATCAACAATAGACGGAAGAAGTTGGCAAAAGGAGAGGTGAAAGACGGAGCTACTACTCCGAAAACCCTCCCAAATGCAAAGCTGATGAACAAACTTGTAAGTGCATCAAAAACGTCCTAAAAGTATCAGCGCTTAGGCTCAGTTAGAACCCTCAAATTGTGCATAAAAATACTACAACTGTTATGGCTTGGCCCTTTCGTTCCTCAAATAGTCTTAGACAACTGCAAAATACTTTCGGGGAAAACTGAAATATTAAGCTTCTTGCGGCGGACGCTCCTGTTGGGCCATGTGGGTGGCCCCGCCCTGCCTGGCCGCACCCCTGGCAGCTCCAATAGGAGTGTCCCCCAGGAAGTTATAGAACTTTTTCCCCTGAACTATTTTGCGATTGTCTGAGATAATTAAACGATAAACTATAAAGCTTGTTTAGTAGCTATTGAATAAGAACTTAGGCCTGGGATTGCGATCTGGAGAAAGCTGCGTTAGACAAATTGGGAACCACTTGCCCACCTGCGGCAGCACCTTCCGCTGATACCGGAAACACAGGCTTTTACTATGAGTAAGTAATCACGAACAGACTTTTCATCTGCGATTCTTGTAGAGCCGTCATTGTTAACAAGCGAGCCTTACTGAAAGATTTGACACTGGTAGTTCCATCTGATTCGGAAAACTTTCAAACGCTCAAACGAATAATGAATAATAATGCACATTCATCACTATTTACAGTCAAGAACTAAGTTGTCCCACAAGTCTTTTCATATCTGCTTTTCACCAATATAAGTTAGTTTTTTTTTTGTATTCCTAATAGAATGCTGGGTATCATTCGACAGAACCGAGCAAGCTCTACAAATGGCGTTTTAAAATTAGCACCAAGCATCCGCATTGACATTGAGTTTCAAGCTTATATGAGAAAACTTCTTAATTCCCAAAAAACTAATCGTATCTCAGTTCAGAACAATTTTGTAGATTTCACGTTCGCTCACGCATATACTCTCCCCATCAAGTCTTTATACATGTAGGCTGCTGCACGACGAAGGCGCAATATCTTTGGGCGAGAATGCGGCTTTATTAGCCACAGCGCACAAGGCGCAGGATTTACAACGGTAAAGATACTCGCGCGCCTCGTTTGCTCCCGCTCAGCCAAAAGCGCTTCTGCGCCTTCGTCATGCAGTAGCCCTTATGTTTGCTGCATTTTTCTGATGGCTATAAGTCGTGAAAAAGTAATGCGCTTAACTTTCAAATTCTGCCTGTAGCAGCTCTTTGTTCCTCGCAAATATGTGATTTATAACTAATTGGCTCAAAATTACCATAAACTTGCACCCTTGTAGGTGCCCTAAATGTCGAAAAATATTAATTTGACGGCAGTATGAAAAAACTTGTGGGACAACCTAGTAGACTCTCCGCCGTCCCTTTCACATTTGCTGCTACCCTTCTGGCGTCGTGGACGTGCCACGTGTGACTAACGCATTGGTAACGTTGGCAGCAACACGTTGGCAACATGCAGCAACATGTTGGCGTGGCCAAAATGTTCTGCCAACATGTTGTGCTATGTTGCAAACATGTTGTTGCCACGTCGCAAACATGTTAGCCACCCGTGGCAGGTCTGAGACGCAGACCAAGGGTAGCAGCAACTGTGGAGGGGACGATAGTATACTTGCACTGCAGGTGGAATGCGGTAATTTTTGCGTGAACAAATAGCTACGCCTCTGACGCCGGCCAATTGCGCGCGCAAAATGACGATATTACTGGCGTGGCTAGTTGTTCACACGTAAACTTTACCGCATTTTATCTGCAGTGCGAGCACATTATATTAAGCGGGAAAATCTACTCGATTGTATATTTATGTCCGTATATTAAGAAACTGTGCTTCGGTATGCACTTTATTCATATCATGACGAAAATTTCAGCGATGCTGATAAAGACGAGTATCCTGTGAGTGTTGTGGTGAGCAAGTGGCTCAATGAGGTAAAAGCGCAAGAGTGGCCAGGCGGCGCACCTCAACCAACGTCTACTGAAGTCGCGATGCCTGCGGGGACAGATGCCGATCCTATCAAAAACTTCGCGAATGTTAGTTTCAATACAACTAAGGTTTGCCATAATGTCAACAATGCATTGACAAAGTATTTCAGCTCATGCGAGCTGATACGCAAAAGATCGGCTGTGCAGAGCTACCGTGTTCCGCTGATGGTCAAACATTCGTGTTCTGCCTTACGGACAAAGAGTAAGCTTTTCTTTATGGGATACTTGGCGGATAGAAATTGCAAAACTTCTCCCTTGCAAACTAGGTATTGAACTATGATAGAAGATTCATCACACGCGCAAATTGGATTCAGCTGCTTCCGATTTAGATAGTTCTTGCATTAGAGGGGCCGTAGACGGCAGGAGGGATGAGAGAGTGCTCGATCAACAAGACGAAGACAGCGCCCGTGGCGGCGCACTGTCCTTGCGTGCGAGGAATCGCCTACACATAATCGAAAGACTTGGTGTATTTGTAAAGTGCTTAAATTTGCATGCATTCATGACTGTAGTGCAATTTGCTCTTCCATTTTTTTTGATTTTTTACAGTAAGATCAACAAACTCAGGATTTAGGCGAGATATTTATAGATCGTAACGAAATCGGCAATCCGCAACTGTGTATGTGTAAGGTCTAAGATGTTGCTGCATGTTTATGCTGCTACGAATGCAACTTATAGTCGAGTCATTGCATCTGACCAAGGGTGTATTGCACACAACGTCCAATTTGGCGTCCTTACACTGCAATCACAATTACGCAAGAGGCTAATCGATTGCCAATGCTTACACCATTTTGTAGAAACTCGTCAAAGATAATGAAAACATGGAGAAAGCACCGAAAACATTTACCTGGGAGGAGGTCTGCTTTTAGAATCCAGGATGGGGACGCCAAAGGTTGACATGAGTGCAGCGACACACATGTTCATTTAAAACGGCTCTAATAAACATCGCTCAAACGATTCCAATCGCTGCTTTATAGGCTCGCGCGCAGATGAGCAAAACAGAACCATGAGATGTCTGAGTTTTCTTGATTCGTTCAAACTCTCAGCTCAGAGAACGGTAATTTTCGGAGCACATTTTGACACCAGCGCGCAGTTTTACAGTTTCAAGTCAAAAGAGAGTAACGATGGAACAATATGAACATGCGGTATGTAAGCAAGTAAACATTGGGCAACATCTGAGGAGTTTTGTAGGGTTGCTTTTTTGCATTGAAAAGAAAAAGTACTCTACCTTAGAGTGAGGAGCTCAGCTACTCTTTCGGAACCGTATAAATTATGCTTTGAAATATCTAGCTGTATATCTACGCATTCCATCAAGATGCAAAAGTTATTTTTATCATTTTCTTCATATGCGATTGTCATTAAGTTCTGAAGTGGCAAAGCCCCTCTTCGATATGACCGGTAAGAAAAATCCAAGTTTGAAGCGAATTTTGCAGTATGCAGTTTCACTTTTAGGACCAGATTACTTACCTTTAAGGATTATAAACAGAGTGGCTGTGAAGCAGTACAATAGAACATGACACTATAAATCGCTACAAATGTTATAAATTTATAGTGCACTTGGTGATGATGAAACGATCTACGAAGTGGGAGCGCCCTGTGCAGCTGATACAGATTGTCCCAACGCACCGAATACGAAGTGCAACACAGCAATAGGCTTATGCGAGGAGCCCGTGGAAACAACGGCCGCAGCGACCATAACAGAGGCCACAACAGAGGCCACAACAGAGGCCACAACTGAAGCCACAACTGTAGTTACTACTGCAGTTAGTACTACAGCTGCAAATGCAACAACGGCTTCTTCCTATCCTGGCGAGCTACCCACAGGTACTTATTTGCGGAATTTGAAGTAAGTCAATAAGTCAGGTCTTTGTTGAAATAAGTCAGGTCTTTGATGAAACCGACTTCAACAGATATGCTGAAAGGCTTAACCCATCACGACATTGTGAATAATCAAGTAGCAGTTCTGCACTTTCAACATGACCATGCATTTTGTTTACTCTCTAGCGAAGCACTAAGCACTCTATATAGCATCACAGAAGGCAGCAAAGAATTTGTTCAATCTCACTTATTATTACAGCAAAGAATGGTCGAAGCAGCGTGAAATACATCAAATTTATTTTACATTTGTAAACGACAAAATTTGATTTTCACTTTCATCGCAAACGAAATTTTGATTTTTTTAAGTGTATGCCAAACGGTCAAAACGTGTCCAAAAAATTAGTAGATGTGCTCAGTCTCGGCTTACAACTAAGTTGTCGAAAACCAAAAAATTTGCACCAATTCTGCAAGTTAGAATAATTCCGAAAAATCTTATCAAAATTATAACCAAGAACTTAATCCCGAGACAATCTTTAAACGAAACTAAAATGAGTCAACGGAAAAAATATGTGCTAATTGCTCGCACACGCTTACAATTTCTTGAATCCAGTAATTTTTTTCGAATCACAGTCATCATCAATACATCAATAACCTCGTTTCCCTACTCCGGAAAAAGATTGGTAGTCCCCTTACTAATGCAATTTAAGGAACAAGCATTATGTGTACAGACTATGAAGGAATGACCGATGAGCTCAGGATGCAATTCCTTGACACGCAGAACTACAGAAGGTTATGATGCTTTTTTTTTTTTGAAGAAATCCGTTTCCTTGATCGTATTTTACGGTAATTTTCAACAATAAATAATCTTGTAGGAGCATTCTCGCAAAAGGCCAAGTTCAAAGACCGAGCGGAAAATATCTACCAAATGGAGCAAATATCATAAAATTGGTAATGGCGTTTTCTATGATGCGAATCCATCCAAACAAATCTGCTCTTGTATCTAAGGCCTTTATAACTGCAGTTCTTCAGAAACCCAACTGCAATCTGGAAAAGGAAGCTATTCAAGAAGTACGACAATGTCCTACATCTAAGACACCACATAATAGTTATGGTAAAAACTTTGACACCTTCGCATCAAGTTCCGTTATATCGACTTACAGAGATGCTGTTAAAAAGGTTGGCAATTTTGCTGGTTCATAATGATGTAGAACTTTGTAAAATGCAAATATATAGGCTGTGACAAATTGGTGGAAAGTAGTTCGTACGGACAGCAATGGGCCAGGAATGCAAGTGACATTCCGTAGTAATCATGTGGATCAGCCTGTAGAAACGTACACCCAAGTAAGAATGAGTCTTGTTCAAAAATGTTATCTAGGCACGCTATAAAGTTTAGGCATTAGAAAAGTCCATAATGGGAAAAGTAGGTTGAAGGGAACACAGAGTTTCTTACGCAAGATTATTGCTTAATTTTCCTTTTCAGATCGCTTGGGCCAACACCAGAGACATTGGATGTGCTATCGCTAAATGCACATCTTCCTACGCAGTCATATGTCTATATGATCCAAAGTATGTAGCATTTTACTCTATATTTGAGATTAATGGGAATGAATTATAGAGGTAACATCGTGGATCAAGTGCTTTACAAGATAGGAAGTCCTTGTGCTGCTTGTCCTAGTGATACGACATGCGACAGCGCTCTTGGACTCTGTGTGCAAAAGTAGCTGCGTACAACTATTTATTTTCTCTTTTCTAGAGTTTTTTTCCTTACCGGGAATTCCTTCTTTTAAATTTTAGGCCACTGTATGTTATTCGATTTTGCACAGATTTCTAGACATGTTCTCTTTTCTGGCTAATAAACTTTTGCTTGAACGCATTTTGTAAGCATCTATACGCAGCCAGTGATTAAAAGCTGATATTTGGCGAAGGCGAATTGTTAAGCGACTGCGAAGGGCTTGTTCAAGCACCTTTTATCATTGGAGCTCACAACTCATAATCCCCTCGTATGTGACCGTCTTTGTCTCAAAGTAGCTTTCAGGGCTTACCACTTTGCTGGTTTACGTCTCTTATTCAAAATTTACATCGACCCTTGGTTCGCCTATAATCAAAAAGGTCGACTAACTAAGCTATAATCTACTAAGCATTGTATAGCATTGTATGAATAAGCGGGTATTTGGCGTATCAACAATTAGTTAAGTTTGCAAGCAAAGACATGTGTAGGCAAACAGTCAATATCGCTTCACTTTGGTTTCCGTCTTTTGTCATATGTCTATTTGAGTGTGATGGTGACGACGCACTAGGTAACACACTCCAACATTAAAGGCAAACCTTTTTCTTACGACATAGGGGTAGAGCTGTGACCCAAGACAGACACTTGAAATGTCTGTATTGCGTTTCAGATGAGGTTATCCGGAGCTGAGGCACAAACGCAAGACTGTGAAAGCGCCTTTTGCTCCAAAGATCTTCGCATTAACCTTTGGGAAAAGCGCCATCTACACTATTTCCATCGCCACATCGATAATGTTTGGCTGCGTCAGCCTTTGGCCGCCTCTGTAACAGGTAAGGGCATGGTCCATCCTCGAGTTCCTGGACATCGAAGAAAGCTTCGGCGTCTCCCCATCGGCGTTTTCTTGCTTATGACATACTATTACACCTTATAAACTATAAAATTCATTTATAAATCCTAAATCCCATCCAAACTAGCCCTAGACACCAAAACCCCACTCAAAACTTATATTTTGAGAAAAGGAAACACCATCAGAGTTATATTTGTTCAAAACGTAAAGTAACAAAAGCAAGTTCTAGGGGTAATACTACGCAGGCAAAAATACCGGACGAGCGGCGCCAATAAAAGACTTCCGACAAGCGGCCACATTAAACGACCGAGCGCACTCATAATCAGTCACCGGTGAGCTTGCAGTTTGGGATAACCTGCAGGCGGACAAATTCGGTTGCAAGGCAATGAACACAACATGAAGATGATTGAGGAAGACGATGGAAGAGCACAAAATACTCAGACAATCGACCGGACCCCTCCGCCGGACAGTCCGAATCTGCCAGAGTCGCGCCGGACCCAGTTGACCAATGAGAGCGGGGCAAATGGGCGGTCCGTCGCGGTGACATCACTGGCAGGCAAATGGGACGCTTCTCCGGCCCTGCTGCAAAGGTACGCCATTTCTCCGGCGCGGCTCTGCCAGATTTGGCAGAGCCGCGCTGGAGAAATTTGCTTGGCGCGAGTCCGCCAGATTTGGAAGAGCCGCGCCGCAGAAAATGGGAGGGGTCCGGAGCACAAATGGGAGGTATCCGGAGCAGAAAATGGGAGGTATCCGGAGCAGAAATGGGAGGGCCCCGGAGCACAAATGGGAGGGCTCCGGAGCAGGCTGCGTATCGATTTGGCGCGTAGCAAGCAAACGTCTAACTCCACGGTGATGAGTCCTCTGTTTACCCTCTTTCTTCATATTTTAGTCGTTTTTTTTTGATTTTGTTGTTTCTCCGCGTTTCTTACCGTTTTTTCTTTTCCGCGTTGCTCTTCGTCGCGTTGGCGTTTATGTTGTTGTAAATTCCTCGTTTTCAGGTTTGTTTCAAATTTTCGTGCGGATGCACTCAATCACTTTTAGTGTTTGGCTCTTTTCGACTTGCTGAGACATCGTTGACTACTGATGGAGTAGTTTTTGTGATTAATTCTGGATTTTCGAAACAACAACAATTTTCGAAAGTATATAATTCGAGTAAAGTCCAAATGAAGTTTTCTTCCCGTTTCAGTCAGAAAGCTTGCTTTTTTAGGTGCAGTGGATTTAGCGGTATTTGGAAGGTATATCTAAACTTTTTCGTACCCCTCAATATCGATACCTTATCAGGTGGCTGTATTCCGTAGATTATTGGATTCCGCAATGATAGATAGTTTGGGCAGTCTGAGTCCACTCATACTCGATTTCATCGACTCGATGAGAGAAAACCTCGAAAGCGATCTGGTATGCAGTTTTTACGTTGAAATATAGTCCTTGATAACAAGCAAGATTATATCAGGATCATGACATAGCAGTGGTGACGATGATGCGGCTACACTATTCCAAACTTATTGCTGTGATCATTGATAATGTTAGTCCAGAAAATCGTGGCAGTCTCATTCCGGATGAAAAGAAGCAAAGCCTATTTTATCTATTCATCGGCTGGTGCAGCAGAACGATAGCAGCAGATAAAAAGAATAGGGAAAATGATGTATGTTTTCATGTTGCTGTTCTATGCATCGCTATTTATTTAACCTTTTTCATTAAGGTTGGTTCATACGTGGAGCAAAAGGCGGCCTTAGCTATGACACGTCTACTCAGCTGTGGTAGAATATTTGAAGCTCAGAAATCTATTGGTGAAGATGGTTATTTATATGGCTGGTTGGAAAAACTTGTGTCAAGTGCGAATACTACGGTATGTTTATGTTGGAAATCACTTTTATGGTCCTTCTTCTTTTGTTTATCTTTCATATTATGCTCTTTCTTGTTTGAAATTGGTTATATCTCTTCAATGGTGAAAGTGTTTCTCAACTGAATCGTCTTATTCAAGAGTATCTGAAGTAATACGGAATATCACGCAATTGAGCCACCTGCTAGACTGGTTAATGTCTTAGTGCTATAGTCAGCCAAGTGCTGTTGCTGCGAAATGCTTTCGAGCTCTCGTGCTCGTGTTCTCACTGTATTATAGATCCCAACTGGTCATCGACTTGGAACAGTAGTCAAAACCAGGCGTAGAGGGATTGCGCAGCTGCTGTGACTGCACAAACTTCGCTAAAAATGTCTGGCTGAGGTTGTCCTTCAGAAAGGATGGAAATCAAGTGGTGCGCACTTGCATATGCTGAAACTGAGAATTCAAAAAAGTACTCAAAGTTGAAGTTCAGTAATCGTAATGAACCAATCACGATCAAAATTGGGATTTCTATGTGTTCGAGGTTGTTCTTCTGCATAGCTATGATTGTTCGCAAAACAAAGCACAAAGAGCACTTTTTTCAAACAACTTTTCAAAATCTAAGTTCAAGTTCAGTAATATGTTCAAAGTGAATGGTTAGATAACGAGTTCAAGCCAGTACATAGACATTTTATACGACATCACTAATCATGTATGGATATGTGACTGACAAGGTCGCGCCAACAGGTATATAGCTTGTAGCCAAGATGTAGGTTAGAACCTTAATGTGCCTGCGGCATTCTGCTCGAAGGAAACCTTTATGAGGTCATGACCTTGCAACGCGGAAGAGGGAAAACATGTAATCGAGTACATGCACCGTGTTCAAATACAGGCAAGTCTCTAGTTTTATCCCACTGATGTAAGTTTGAGAACAGGCGTCTCCAGTCCAAACCGCTAAATTCTGATGTTTAAAGTTTGTTCGTAATTGTGTCCTGGCCTTTTACGCAAAATAGAAAATCCCAATTTTAATCGTGATTATTTCATTATGATTACTGAACTTCAACTTTGAGTACTTTTTTGAATTCTCAGTTTCAGCATATGCAAGTGCGCACCACTTGATTTCCATCCTTTCTGAAGGACAACCTCAGCCAGACATTTTTAGCGAAGTTTGTGCAGTCACAGCAGCTGCGCAATCCCTCTACGCCTGGTTTTGACTACTGTTCCAAGTCGATGACCAGTTGGGATCTATAATACAGTCGTGTACTCTCTCGCCGAGATTTTCCGTGCGAATTTATATCGCGGTTGTCACAGATGCTGCAGTCCATATGATTGAGATTCTCAAGAGACAATTTCTTTAAAAATGAGTCTTCCTTTTTTAAAAGGCGTCTACCGAAGGAAACATGGCGTCTTCTCCAGCTGTGCAGTTGAAATCGCCAGTAGTTAAATTCGCACGGCCATTGTTTCCCTATGGATCAGCAGGCTGTTTGTCAGAACCTTGCCAACTCGTACCCTCATCTCACTATCACAATATTCAGCGGTAAGGGATTTTTTGTGTGCTCATGTGTTTGGCATTATTTGCTCTTCATCCGATTTTCAGAGGTTTCTTGCCGTCTTGAAAATGCTCGTAGTCAGAACCAGACGTACCTTATCGCTTTACTGCTTTACTGCTTTGTTGTCCGTTTTGTAGCTGCTAAGTTTTGTTTTGCAATTTGCAGGAGATTGTTTGCAGTTAATTTGAAATAAATGTCTTGTTTCTTCATTCTTCTATCTTCTATCCACAAACGCTAGGGGTGAGAGGGAGGGGGTAAAGAACGGGGTTGAGGGTCGTATTCGGCTAATTTGGGTGGGGTTTAGAGACATAATTGGGGTTTGGAGCTTAATTAGAGCTAATTACAGTATGCCGCGGCAAACTTGCGGAGCAGAAAATGGTAGGGCTCCGGAGCAGAAAATGGGAGGTCTCCGGAGCAGAAAATGGGAGGTATCCGGAGCAGAAAATGGGAGGTATCCGGAGCAGAAAATGGGAGGTATCCGGAGCAGAAATGGGAGGGCTCCGGCGGACGAGTGGCAGACCCACCGCTGGGGAAACTCCGCGACCCTGCCATTTCTCCGGCGGAGGGGTCCTATCCGCTGTCTGAGTATAGGCAGAAATGATCAAACAATAACATAGAAGGGGTAATAATGAATGAAGTCGGAGGCGAAACTAAGGAGATAATATGAGCGCAGAGGCATTCCTGTGAAACAGATACAATAACTTAGGATAAAAACTGACGAACTTGTCGGATAACTGCATATAAGCAAGTGGTGTACACATTGATAACTCACCTTGTGTAGATGGATTTGCGATCTCCTTGAGAGTCCTTGAGAGATCTCCGAATTTGTCCGCCTGCAGGTTATCCCAAACTGCAAGCTCACCGGTGACTGATTATGAGTGCGCTCGGTCGTTTAATGTGGCCGCTTGTCGGGAGTCTTTTATTGGCGCCGCTCGTCCGGTATTTTTGCCTGCGTAGTATTACCCCTAGAACTTGCTTTTGTTACTTTAACAAAAAACATTTAACACTTGAACAAATATAACTCTGATGGTGTTTCCTTTTCCCAAAATATAAGTTTTGAGTGGGGTTTTGGTGTCTAGGGCTAGTTTGGATGGGATTTAGGATTTATAAATGAATTTTATAGTTTATAAGGTGTAATAGTATGTCATAAGCAAGAAAACGCCGATGGGGAGACGCCGAAGCTTTCTTCGATGTCCAGGAACTCGAGGATGGACCATGCCCTTACCTGTTACAGAGGCGGCCAAAGGCTGACGCAGCCAAACATTATCGATGTGGCGATGGAAAATAGTGTAGATGGCGCTTTTCCCAAAGGTTAATGCGAAGATTTTTGGAGCAAAAGGCGCTTTCACAGTCTTGCGTTTGTGCCTCAGCTCCGGATAACCTCATCTGAAACGCAATACAGACATTTCAAGTGTCTGTCTTGGGTCACAGCTCTACCCCTACCCATGTCGTAAGAATAAGGTTTGCCTTTAATGTTGGAGTGTGTTACCTAGTGCGTCGTCACCATCACACTCAAATAGACATATGACAAAAGACGGAAACCAAAGTGAAGCGATATTGACTGTTGCCTACACATGTCTTTGCTTGCAAACTTAACTAATTGTTGATACGCCAAATACCCGCTTATTCATACAATGCTATACAATGCTTAATAGATTATAGCTTAGTTAGTCGACCTTTTTGATTATAGGCGAACCAAGGGTCGATGTAAATTTTGAATAAGAGACGTAAACCAGCAAAGTGGTAAGCCCTGAAAGCTACTTTGAGACAAAGACGGTCACATACGAGGGGATTATGAGTTGTGAGCTCCAATGATAAAAGGTGCTTGAACAAGCCCTTCGCAGTCGCTTAACAATTCGCCTTCGCCAAATATCAGCTTTTAATCACTGGCTGCGTATAGATGCTTACAAAATGCGTTCAAGCAAAAGTTTATTAGCCAGAAAGAGAACATGTCTAGAAATCTGTGCAAATCGAATAACATACAGTGGCCTAAAATTTAAAAGAAGGAATTCCCGGTAAGGAAAAAAAACTCTAGAAAAGAGAAAATAAATAGTTGTACGCAGCTACTTTTGCACACAGAGTCCAAGAGCGCTGTCGCATGTCGTATCACTAGGACAAGCAGCACAAGGACTTCCTATCTTGTAAAGCACTTGATCCACGATGTTACCTCTATAATTCATTCCCATTAATCTCAAATATAGAGTAAAATGCTACATACTTTGGATCATATAGACATATGACTGCGTAGGAAGATGTGCATTTAGCGATAGCACATCCAATGTCTCTGGTGTTGGCCCAACTGCAATCTGGAAAAGGAAGCTATTCAAGAAGTACGACAATGTCCTACATCTAAGACACCACATAATAGTTATGGTAAAAACTTTGACACCTTCGCATCAAGTTCCGTTATATCGACTTACAGAGATGCTGTTAAAAAGGTTGGCAATTTTGCTGGTTCATAATGATGTAGAACTTTGTAAAATGCAAATATATAGGCTGTGACAAATTGGTGGAAAGTAGTTCGTACGGACAGCAATGGGCCAGGAATGCAAGTGACATTCCGTAGTAATCATGTGGATCAGCCTGTAGAAACGTACACCCAAGTAAGAATGAGTCTTGTTCAAAAATGTTATCTAGGCACGCTATAAAGTTTAGGCATTAGAAAAGTCCATAATGGGAAAAGTAGGTTGAAGGGAACACAGAGTTTCTTACGCAAGATTATTGCTTAATTTTCCTTTTCAGATCGCTTGGGCCAACACCAGAGACATTGGATGTGCTATCGCTAAATGCACATCTTCCTACGCAGTCATATGTCTATATGATCCAAAGTATGTAGCATTTTACTCTATATTGAGATTAATGGGAATGAATTATAGAGGTAACATCGTGGATCAAGTGCTTTACAAGATAGGAAGTCCTTGTGCTGCTTGTCCTAGTGATTCGACATGCGACAGCGCTCTTGGACTCTGTGTGCAAAAGTAGCTGCGTACAACTATTTATTTTCTCTTTTCTAGAGTTTTTTTCCTTACGGGAATTCCTTCTTTTAAATTTTAGGCCACTGTATGTTATTCGATTTTGCACAGATTTCTAGACATGTTCTCTTTTCTGGCTAATAAACTTTTGCTTGAACGCATTTTACAAAGTTCTACATCATTATGAACCAGCAAAATTGCCAACCTTTTTAACAGCATCTCTGTAAGTCGATATAACGGAACTTGATGCGAAGGTGTCAAAGTTTTTACCATAACTATTATGTGGTGTCTTAGATGTAGGACATTGTCGTACTTCTTGAATAGCTTCCTTTTCCAGATTGCAGTTGGGCCAACACCAGAGACATTGGATGTGCTATCGCTAAATGCACATCTTCCTACGCAGTCATATGTCTATATGATCCAAAGTATGTAGCATTTTACTCTATATTTGAGATTAATGGGAATGAATTATAGAGGTAACATCGTGGATCAAGTGCTTTACAAGATAGGAAGTCCTTGTGCTGCTTGTCCTAGTGATACGACATGCGACAGCGCTCTTGGACTCTGTGTGCAAAAAGTAGCTGCGTACAACTATTTATTTTCTCTTTTCTAGAGTTTTTTTCCTTACCGGGAATTCCTTCTTTTAAATTTTAGGCCACTGTATGTTATTCGATTTTGCACAGATTTCTAGACATGTTCTCTTTTCTGGCTAATAAACTTTTGCTTGAACGCATTTTGTAAGCATCTATACGCAGCCAGTGATTAAAAGCTGATATTTGGCGAAGGCGAATTGTTAAGCGACTGCGAAGGGCTTGTTCAAGCACCTTTTATCATTGGAGCTCACAACTCATAATCCCCCTCGTATGTGACCGTCTTTGTCTCAAAGTAGCTTTCAGGGCTTACCACTTTGCTGGTTTACGTCTCTTATTCAAAATTTACATCGACCCTTGGTTCGCCTATAATCAAAAAGGTCGACTAACTAAGCTATAATCTATTAAGCATTGTATAGCATTGTATGAATAAGCGGGTATTTGGCGTATCAACAATTAGTTAAGTTTGCAAGCAAAGACATGTGTAGGCAAACAGTCAATATCGCTTCACTTTGGTTTCCGTCTTTTGTCATATGTCTATTTGAGTGTGATGGTGACGACGCACTAGGTAACACACTCCAACATTAAAGGCAAACCTTTTTCTTACGACATAGGGGTAGAGCTGTGACCCAAGACAGACACTTGAAATGTCTGTATTGCGTTTCAGATGAGGTTATCCGGAGCTGAGGCACAAACGCAAGACTGTGAAAGCGCCTTTTGCTCCAAAAATCTTCGCATTAACCTTTGGGAAAAGCGCCATCTACACTATTTCCATCGCCACATCGATAATGTTTGGCTGCGTCAGCCTTTGGCCGCCTCTGTAACAGGTAAGGGCATGGTCCATCCTCGAGTTCCTGGACATCGAAGAAAGCTTCGGCGTCTCCCCATCGGCGTTTTCTTGCTTATGACATACTATTACACCTTATAAACTATAAAATTCATTTATAAATCCTAAATCCCATCCAAACTAGCCCTAGACACCAAAACCCCACTCAAAACTTATATTTTGGGAAAAGGAAACACCATCAGAGTTATATTTGTTCAAGTGTTAAATGTTTTTTGTTAAAGTAACAAAAGCAAGTTCTAGGGGTAATACTACGCAGGCAAAAATACCGGACGAGCGGCGCCAATAAAAGACTCCCGACAAGCGGCCACATTAAACGACCGAGCGCACTCATAATCAGTCACCGGTGAGCTTGCAGTTTGGGATAACCTGCAGGCGGACAAATTCGGAGATCTCTCAAGGACTCTCAAGGAGATCGCAAATCCATCTACACAAGGTGAGTTATCAATGTGTACACCACTTGCTTATATGCAGTTATCCGACAAGTTCGTCAGTTTTTAATCCTAAGTTATTGTATCTGTTTCACAGGAATGCCTCTGCGCTCATATTATCTCCTTAGTTTCGCCTCCGACTTCATTCATTATTACCCCTTCTATGTTATTGTTTGATCATTTCTGCCTATACTCAGACAGCGGATAGGACCCCTCCGCCGGAGAAATGGCAGGGTCGCGATT